AACACATTTGAGAGCTGTGATCCAAGATCTCTATTTTCAAAAAAGCCACATTTATCATTTAATATCATGTGTTTTTTTGACAAGGCCAAATACAAAAATGAATTCTTTGATGATTTATTTTTCCTGGAATAAGAATAAAATTGTAGAATTTTATCTCCCATGAAATTATAGATTTTTTATTTAAACTAGAACGTTATCTGATAAATTGAATGAAGAAGGCTCATGAAGGCATTTCTATAATCTTATGCCCCCATCAGGTCCATGCTGTCCTGGAACTTCCATGAGCCACCAAGGATGAGGAATTAATAAAACTATGGTGGACAACTTTCTATTCATAGTAGCTTATAGCCACCAACCCAGCTGGAAAGAAGAAGAGGACTGTCTTAAAAAAGGATTTTAAATCTTACATTTGTTAATTGTAAAGATTTTTTAAAAGGAGAATTCCAAGTTATTGTGTCTTGGAGTTGTAGATTATGCCTTGCACCTTTAGTACCTGTGACTGATGTCCATGCCAGCCCTTTCGGTGACTGGTTTGTCTTTATTCTATCATGAGGGAAAGACTTAACAGGAGTCTTAAAAATTATCTGTATATTCAGAGTTGTGAAGGATTTAAATAATAAAATACAATAAGCAGAGAATTACAAAATATCTTACTTAATTTAAAGAAAATACAAAACTAGATTAAAAAAACACAGTATAAATTTAAAGACCTATGATAAAATCTATACACAGAGATAGATGTATATTTAAGAAGAAAAATCTACTATCATAAACTGACCAATATGATCTAAAGCCATATGCAAATTTGCTGCATTTCAAATAAGAATTTCTTCAACATTTTATTTCATTTAGTTTTTGCTTTTGGGTGTTCCTATTTCCAAGGTGTGTCTGCTGAGATGTTGGACATGGTAAAGTCCTGGGTCACTCTTGCAAAGCAGAAAGCAGACCAAAGATACCAAATTTGAATGAATTGTATGTCTTCCAGTTAGGACTGGACCCATGATTCACAGTAAAGTGTAGGAAATCTGGGCCTTAGGTCAGTAGGTCCTCTGGGAACTCACAAATAATTTCCATGTATGTTTATGAAGTAGTCAATCACTGCTACATATGTGTCCTTTTGTTTGGAGAATATAATAAGAAAACTGTCCCAGTTTTGGGATTTCAGAGGGGGGAGGAATTTAAAAATTAAGAACAGTAAGAGTTATGGGTCAGGCTTCATGGGCAATGACCAAACAGACTCCATTTTACCCTGAGACTCCATGTCATGTAAGAAATGCTTCTCCCATGGGAAAGCCTCACCTCTGTATCCATCAACAGTTACTTAGCATAGCATGTTTGGCAACACAAAATGACAACTCTTATACAATGTCAAATTGTTCTCCTTTGGGTTCCCATTTTTCTTGGACAATGTACCCTGTCAGAAAATGGTTGTCTAGATGTTAGTAACCATTCTTTAATTTGTACTCAACTTTTGGTCATTTTGGCCCACTCCTCCTTCTGCTTATGATTTAGATCTCATGATGTTTCTTTATAGTTTTGAATCATAGCAACAGACACTTGTGATTAATGTGGTTTTGAACTATAAAAGTGTATGTATTCGAAGGGTGTAGATTGGCAGCCTGACCCTTGGCTCATCTGTTGGTGAATAAATGTTGCAATCGTTCCATAACATATGTAGTCATGGGGGAGCACTATAGGGATCAATGGAGCTTGTAATCCACCCTCTGCTAACCTTTATACCCTTCTAAACAGTGTGGTAGTTACATACTTGACCTACAGGGATCCAGCCTATATTCTAGGAAACTGTTTTTCCTCTTTAAGAATTCATGAGCTTGATTTTGTCTTTTTCTTTGTCTAATCCAAGACTTGTAATCTGTGCTAGATTGTTTTTTTTTCCAACTGTTCTTCCCCAATCTATTCCTTAAATCTGTTGTAGTCTAGATTTCTGTTCTCCATCTACTTTATCTCAGTGGCCACTTGCCCATTCTTGGCTTTAATTAGCCTGGAGGGAAGAGGGGAAAGGATAAGGGAAATACCCATCTCCATCCCACCTGCCTCCAGGACTCTATGTGCACTTGTCCAGCGGACCACCTGATGAGTTCAAATTAGGCTCACACAGAATGTCAGAGGCTGAATGTGTACACAGCCAGAGTGGATTCAGACCCTCTTGGTCACCCATCTCTTCCTCCTAGCTCAGGGAACATCACTGCTTAGTTCTTTATGGTAGAGACATAGTGATGTGGCACTGGTCAACAAGGAGCCATCTAAGACAGAGATGGCCAGAGTCACAGACTGGTCTGGGTCTTTTTTATTTTTCTTCATCTATTACCTTTCACAGAGTTAATTACTTAGTAATCCCAGTAAGCTGTCAACTAGGGAGGTGGGTGGTAAGGCTAGGCTCTATGTCATTTAGAGAGCTTATTTAACCTACTTGGAGACTTTAGTTCATCAGTCAGTTACTCCTGTTCAGCCACCACAACATCCTACAGTATGGGGTGACCTGACCACTTTACCTCTTCATTCCTGGTGGCCTGCTCTGGTTAAGTTTCATCTTTATGTTTTCTCCCAGATACTAGAGCTACACACCTCATCACTGCTACTTGCTTTGCTGGACCATGAATGTCAGTCTCAACTCTCTCCTCTAATTCTTCACCCTTTGATGAGTTTTATGGATTCTGCTACAGAAACATTTTTGGCCCACTCCTGACCCCAACACACTCTTCATAATGAAGCCAACTTTGGCCACTCACATTAACTTCCCCACCATCTGGGTGCTGATCTCACGTAGTCCATTTCCTTCTTAGGATTCTTCACCCTGCTCTGCTCTGCTCCTGAGGATCAAGTCCAGAGCTGTTAGGACATTAGGTCTCTATGAGGTGACATTTCCTCTCTTCCCTTCAGTTCTTCATCATTGTCTCCCTAGAATCACATCTTCACATCTATGGATTGATTGGCAGTTTTTCTGTCTAGAAATATCCCACTCTTCTGGTTGAACTTCTGCTCATCTTTGTGCTCAGTTTAGCACTGTCTCTTCCAGGAAGCTTCTCACCCAGGAATTCTGGGGTTAATATGGCTCCATCTATAGTGTCTCCCACCTCACATCCCTTCCTACCCAAGATTTGGCCTGTTTTATCATTGTTCTATCTCTTTAGACTCCTCTGGGACCCATTAGCAGGGAAATGAGACCATGTTTTATTTTGTTTTGTTCCAAGTTATTCGTAGAATAGAAAAAAAATGCATGGAATAGTGGACATTTAAGTATTTCTCTTCATTCTGATGACAGTGAAAGATTATCAATTAAAGTATAACCTTTACAAAAGAGTTACAAGTAATGGGCATGTCTCAAACACTCTGCATCCATAAATTTAGGAAAATGGCTCAAGAAATCATAGCTCCTCACTTACAAATTTGAGATTCGTTCTATTTGGCTACATAGCCTGTGCCATTTGCATACATCCACTGTTAGTTCTCAATTATCTACTGAGAATAAAATCAGAACCTATTTTCTTGTATGTTGGTGGGGCATAAATAACTTGGCTGAGGTAGAGGGTCTGCAACAATTTGCAATACACAGTGAGCCCTCAAAAGTGGTGGTGGTTTCTGGCAGACTCTGCCATGCTGCCTTCAATGAACATGCCCAGGTGAGCATCAGAAGTGCACCAGCGCTGCTCCTGTCATGCTGACTCTCTCCTGTAGAGACAGGCCAGCAACAAAGCTCCCAGCAGCAAATGACAGTGAGAGTAAAAGAACGTGGTACCACTACTTAGAAATAAATACTGACAAGCCCAGCAATGATTACCACAAAGAGGAAACCAAAATAAATAAATAAATAAAATAATATCATTTAGAAAACACCAGTTTTTGGAACCATTTTCATCTCTTTTTTATACATGAGAAAATGAAGTCTATAGGAGCAAAGACCTGGATTAAGGTCACAGAGCTCACTAAGGTAGAAGGGTGAAGATTCATAGCTTGGCAGAGTCCCCTCTTGGGCTTCACCAGAGTCCTTCCTTAGAGTTTGACAACAGGGTGTGGAGGTGGGGCACTTTCAAAGCCAGGCATAGTCTACTGTATATCTTTAGTCACAACACAGAAGTTGAGAGATAGAATGAGGTAAAAAACTGAGGGAACACTTTCTTGCACTGTGCACTCAATAATTTTTTTATATTTTAAATTTTATGATGATGAAGTCATATATACATGGACTCCTCAATTGAAAAGGTATTTGCATTCAGTTTAGACGTCAAAGAGATTTTTATTTTGGTATTTTTCTTCCACACATAGAGCATGAGAAGGGTTTCCTGCTTAATGCTGGAGGAGTGATAATACAAGCTTGCTTTCTTTTCTTTCTTTCCTCCTTTTTATTTATTTTTCTACTAAGTATGTTAGCTACTTTGTACCAAACTAGTAGACATAGTGATATCTTATTTATATAACTTGAATTTATTATGAAAATAGTATTCTCATGATTTAGCAGACATTTACGGATATAGGATGGAGAACTGGAGTCCAGAAAAGACTGGGTGCATACATATCCCACAATGGGTGATGCTCAAGGGGCAATATAGGGCCAAGGGCCCAACATCTCCCCTAGAATTTAGCAAATCCGCTTGCCATGAGGAGTAGCTTATTTGGTCAATTCCTGCACCCTCCTTCCATGGATGAGGCATTGGAAGAAGGCAATTTTTACCTAAGCTTCCACTTGCTGACTCTACTGCCACAAGAAGAATCCTTGGTACAAGAAATTGGAAGCTGAAAACAAGAGTAGGCTCCCTGTATCAGGTTTTCAATACTTTGATAGTAAATCCAGAGTCTTTCATCTTGGAAAATCTTTTGCAAAATATTTTATATGTGCATTCTTTAAGGAAGGCAGTGAAATTCTTAAATAATGCATCTCCAATAATAGTTTCCTGTAGATATAATTGTGGGTAACTAGCGTTAGTGACAGATTTAAAATTCTCCAATTAGTGCATTAAAAAAGAAAAAGGAGCCATTTAAAATTAGTTTTAATATTATTGCTTTATAGTGCAATATGTCCAAAATAGAATCACACCAACATTCAATCAATAGAAAGGTTTTTGAGTTATTTTACATGCAAGATCTTATCCTTGACATAAGGGTTTAATAGAGAGTACTGATATGGGGCTCTTCTAAGAATTCCAAAGCTGGGAACAAGGGTAGCCTCCACGTCTCAGCTTTTCCACAATTCAGCAGGAAATTCAGAGTCTTTCATCCTTGAAATGTTCTGCAAAATATTTTGTTCATGCCTTCTTCAGAAGAGGCATAATGGTTATTTGTTACTCTAAATCTTAAAATATGGTTTGTATTTTAGAACTATAGCCCATATCAGCTTGAACCATTGCAGTAGCACTGTTTCAAGGGGTCACCAACCACATGGAGCCACTGGCACCTGGATTGATCACTGGCACCTGATTGAGCCACTGGCACCTGGATTGATCACTGGCACCTGATTGAGCCACTGGCACCTGGATTGATAGCTGGAAAGCTCTGTAGACACCACCCTGCAAGAAGGTGGAGGTCTTACCTGGAAACAGTAAGTCCCAAAAGACAGTTAGGCCACCTAGCATGACTCCATTTCCTGACCAGGGGGACAGGAACCCAGGGTCACCCCTGGTCTCAAACTGATGCCATAAGCCACAACATGGTGTGTGGTTGAGTCCAGGTGAGATCCTGACCAATTCTCTGGTGCAAGGATTTAATTGGTAAGAGAAATAAGATAGGTAATAAGAGGCCCCAGAGAGAGGAGATAGATACACAAATCTATCCACAAGGTGAAGGGAGGGATTATGCATGGTTAGAGTTCTGATAAATATTTTATGAACGTTCCTAGAGTATAGCACCAATAGTGAAAAATGCTGGTGGGACACCTCCTGCATTCCTACACCCCCTGGTTGTGCAGGGGCTTGGGCTGTGCCATTATTAGCTTATGGTCTTTCCTCTATTTGATTCTGAAAATAGCCTAGTGGGATAAATATCAATATCCTCAGTTTAGAAATGTTAAAGGCCAGCTGTTATTTTCGGTAACTTGTCAGAGACTGAACACCGAGCAGAAATGAAGCTTGGGAGATAAAGGCAAGTATTCCTGTAGAACTACCCTGTCTTTGTTAAGACACTCTACAGGAATACAACTATGTATGTGCTGCTTGCTTTGGGGCAAGGACAAGCACTGAAAAGCTGTCCCTGACAAAAATACATACTCTATCTGATCTGAATAGGAGCATGTCATTCTGTGGTTTTGTCAGAGACTTTCAGTGTCCTGAAATGACAAAAGAGTTGTTTGCTCTTGGACAAGTTATTTTGCCTCTTTTATCCCCTCTGTGAGAAGGGATGCCAGGGAGTTGCTTTGTGTGTCAGTGGAATCCTGTAAGCAAAGTGTGTAACATAGTCATAAATACATAAAAAAAACTCTCTAGAAATGTGGGTTATGATTGTTTAACCTTGAAATTGGACAGGTTGCAGTAGGTGATCTCTGGGGACCACATGCAGTGGAAATTTTAGTGTATTATATGTTTTAGCTAATCAGGTGGTGTGTGTGTGTGTGTGTGTGTGTGTGTGTGTGTGTGTGTGTATTCCAAGTAGCAGAGACCTAAATAAGACCAGTGCATAGGTAGGACATAAAGGTAGGACCAGGAGGTTACTAGGACATCAGAAATGGAGAAGAGAGGGTTTGGGGAAGCACAGGTCAAGGAACATGTGAAACGATGCTTGAGAGACACACTTAGCCTTTACTCCATGGAAACTGCAGGTTCATGTTCAGTTATGCTAGTGGCTCCAAGGACCTTGTAAGTAATCAGGAAGACGGCCACAAGGAGAAGGCAGTGGACCTGGTAGGAAGGGGCTTGGCTCTGAAAGGCAGTTGTGGGTCCTTGGGTTCTCATGACCAGACTCAGCACCTGAGGTAGCACCTGAGTGCCAGGCTTGCACACAGCATCTGAGGTTCATTTTCCAATGTCTCCAAAGGCAGCTTTTGGTTGTGCTGGGTTAATGACTTGGTGGTGACATATAAAGGTAATGGAATTTTTTGATAAAAGAATATTCTGGCACTACCATTTACATCTTCTATAGACATTAAGCCCAAATGAGGTATTAGATATTGACAGACGTGTCAACATTGGCAGAGAGAAATAATCAGTAGAAAGAGACGCAATACAGATGGTGGGCGATGGGGTAGTGAAATAATGGCTTTTTTTTTTTTTTTTTTTTTGCTTTCTCTTTTTGTCTCTCTCTCTTCCAGATTTCCAGCTGCAAGAAAATATTTCTTTGGGGGATAAAAATCTATGCCACCCATGTTGTTATGAAAATAAATTTTACATTTTGTTGTCAGTATATACAATTGTTTCTTTCAATTGCTATTCTCACTCTTATTAATTACTTGAGAAAATCTGCACCAAACCTGCAGCCAGTCACACATTCATTTCAAGGACATTTTTTTTCCTACATATTTTTTCCTTTCCTCCACAACTTTTCCTGGTATTCTCTCCTCCAGATAGTGTAGGGCATATTCATCTAAATTAAACACATAGTTAAAAAGTATTGGGGGGCTGGGGATGTGGCTCAACTGGTAGCGTGCTCACCTGGCATGCATAAGGCACTGGCACATAAAAATAATAATAAAGATATTTTTTTAAAAAACGTATTGGGGCACCTCTCTTGGGCAGGATGAAGTCCTGGAAAAGCCAGGGTGGGCTTTCTTAGCCTTTAGCAAGGGTTTGAGAGATTCTCAGAAAGACCCTTATGGTTTCCAATAAAAGAAAACATATGGTTGAATGAGGGAACCACATGTGTTCCCAAACTGTGTCCTCCAGCTGTTGTTCCAGAGGAAACCATTCTGGTGGACCCAGACCTCAAATTGCTTGGGGAAGCCATGCAGTTGGTGGGAAGAGCAGAACAGGACACACAGACATGCTGTGTGAAGATCTGGATGCTAAGTGTGGGACCTTGTTGACTGACCCCTGTAACCTGCTCTTGAGATTCTAATTGTCCTATGTGCGTGCCCAGGCTGAATGGTGAAGTTGTCTTTTTTATATAAATGGAGTCTTTTGTCCCTTTTGGGAAACATGTTTTGTTGTTGCCGTGCTAGAGCACCTAAAACAGTGGAGCATACCTCAAATGTTGGTCTTGTCAACCATCCTCCTTATTGACCCTTGCCATTTTGCTACTCTGCCTGCCTCTTTCCCCTACCTCACACCTTCTAGAACTTCTGCTTTTCATTTTAGGAAGAACTTCCATAACATTTTCCATAATGATACACAATTTACAGTACTACCAACAATGCCTAACAATTTCCTTTTCTTCACGTTCTTAAAAGCACCATTGGTCTTCTGATTTTTAGTTAATACCTTTCATAAGAGATGTGAGATAGGCAACACATTTAAAAAAAATTGTAGGTCATGCAGTATAAATTCCCACCTGGCTAAGGAGTCACTAAAGCTTGAAACTTGAAGACAGAGGGAGGTCTTGTTCCAGGGGTCTCTCTGCCACTCACTGTAAAGAGAAAACAAATGCTGGTTATTCCTTCCATGTCACACAGGAGGAGCAGCTTAGGCAGGATTGGAATACCCACTCTGTTATGGTAAGATACGAGGTGTCCCCCAAAAGCTCATGTGTGAGACAATGCAAGACACGAGAGGTAAAATGGTTGGGCTATGAGAGCCTTAACCTAATAGGGATTAACTGGGTGGTGACTATATACAGGAAGGTGTGGATGGGGGAGGAGGGTCATTAGGATCATGCCTCTGGGGTTTATATTTTGTCTATGGTGAGGGGAACTCTCTCACTCTCTCCCTCCCTCACATTCTCTCTCCCATTCTGCTTCATGGTATTCATGTCCTGAGCCACTTTCCTCTATCACACTATTCTGCAATGATGTTCTGCCATGCTTTGGACCCAGAGCAATGAAGCTGACTGGCTGTGGACTGACATGACTGAAAAAAGTTTATTTGGGGGCTTTCTTAAGAGCCTCCAAATAAAAGTTTCCTCTTCTAAAATTGTGCTTGTCAGGTCTTTTGGTCACAACAAGGAAAAAGCTAACTAAAACAATCACTAATTGTATTTATAACCTATTTTTTAAACTTGTTTATTTTTGTATATGCTTCATAATATACACAAAGCATTTCTAATTTTGCATGTGTAATATATATTGGGGGTTTATTCATTGGAAAAATGAGGTGAAGAGATTTTTGAAAAGCCAGAACAGCAAAACAAGCTGCCTATCAAAAAGTCACAATGATTATAATGCTACAGAAATAAAAACACTTTGCTCTTGGCAAAGGGATACACAAATTAGGGACTCAGTGCACTTGTCAAATTGAAGGTATTCATATACAGTGACTATCCCTCTGGCTGCATCCTGAGCAAAGGTGGACAATTGACAAGTAGACATTCTCAGTGGAAAGGAGAAAGCAGCAAGGGCTGTATTAGCACATGGCATCATCAAGGTGGTGCTGATTGCAAGTCACTTTTAATGAGTTTCAGCAGTTATAGTTATTTAAAAGTGTACATTTCCAGTTTCCATTCCTAGATTTAGACTCATTGTGTTGGGTGCCAACTCCACTTTTTTTATTAAAAGCATCCCAGTTGCTTCTTATGCAGGTGGTCATCTTCCAAAACCTCTAGCAAACACAATCAAGTATTAGAAATATTTCCATTAAAGTTAGGAAAAAGAAAGAGATGTTTATGATCATGAATGACATTTGCATAGTCTGGAGAATCTCAACTTGAATGATTCTGTAATGTAGGAAGAATTTAGCACTTGAAATGAGAACATGGAAAATAATCACAGAAATTATAGCATTTCTATATCATAGCAATAAAGAGTGAGAAGTACATAACACAATTTTACCATGCACAAAGCAATAAGTACTGTAAGATACCTAAGAATGAAGCTAGCAATACCAATTCCAGATCTTTTGAGGGAAAATGGAAGAACTTTACAAAGAAACTCAAACTGAAATATGAATAAGTAACAAGGCACACAAACCTATGCAGGAAATGGTCACTGTATGACATAAATGGGTCTGAAACACCTGGATCTTTCCTTTTGAGATGAAGACTAAGACAAGGATGCCTGTCCACTGCACTTCTATTAAGTATTGCGCCAGAAGTCTCAACCAGGGCATTAAGAATGCAAAATTAGTAAAAGTTAGGGATGTTGAGTAGATATAAAACTGCCTTTAGTTACAGTTAACATGAATATATACACAGAAAAATTAAAGAATCAATCAAAAAATAAAAATTAATAAGACAATTCAGCAAATCTATGCATACCTTTCAGAATCTATTGCAATTTTCTATACCATTAACAAAAGAAATTTTGGAACATGAAATTTAAAATTTCTACAAACCTATTTCCCTTCATAGTCATAGCCAAACCCTCCAGGTTTGCCATATCTCCTTGTTCATTTTCTGGATTAATTTTATAACACTAAACATGGCTAAATAGTCAGTGATCACACTTTCCTAGTATGATTCTTTTTATTTAAATATACACTATTCTTTACATGGTTGTTCATCAATGGTATTGTAGTTACTATTACTGAGAAAAATGATAATTTGATGGAAACTCTCGTTAATGTCTTGGCTATGTTCAGAAAAGAGGATAGATGTGGATAAAAGGTTTAGCTTGGTTCTTTTTGAAGAGAATAGGTTAACTGTAGGCTGAATTTAAACATGAGATACATTAAACAAAATATTCAGGAGGCTGTTATACAGATGAAGCTTGTGCTTGTGTACTAGGAGATTAACATATTAATCCAAAATGAAGTCACTTTGCAAAGAATCCCTGTCATTAAACCTAAGCTGCTTAATTGTAAGATGGAAACTTCCAAGAAATCAGGAAACAACAGCCAAAGACTCAAGCCAGATCATGAACAATATCAAAATAAACAGATTAATAGGAGATTCACATCAACTAAACATATGGGCCCAGTCAACAGTTACAGGCATGGTAAAGAAGTCATTAGTATTTAAATCACACAGACAAGGAAAGAAACCTGAGGTCACCAATCTGCGCCTTGCACTATCTTGCTGCATCTTTGTTCCAACTTCGGCTGTCATGCAGCCACCACCACTTGTCACACCTAGCAGAGCTCCAGTCTGTGTTGGTTCATGAATCACTAACAATAGCCAAGTAGCTTTTTGCAATTCAATTTTTTTGAAGTTATGACTTCTGACATGTGTAAGTAGGTACAAAAGGTAGCCTATTCACCTTTTCCTAAATTCTCACTTATACCAGCAGTAAATGGTTGGTTATGGTGAAAGAAATATTTATTTGTTTAAAAAATAATTATGAATACATGCATGAGGTCTTCATGAAGCCCAAATATTTTATTCTATAATTTCTCATGATCCTGAGTACTGAAGCAGAGTCATACCCAGGTATTATATCTAGATCATGGTTAGATAAATGACACCATACAACTAGCCTTCCATAAAGCTTTGCTAAATTTCACCTGTAACTGATCAACCCTTAATGATCTTGTGTTCCTAGCCAGCACATTGAATGTGCCTCCACCAGGCCCTTGTAGAGCTGAGAGAATGATGCTGTCAGCCAGGATGCTTGGCCAAGGGGAAAGATAGCAGTTCAGGAGGTTGGTCTTGGGGATCAGGTGGGCACAATGGCCAGGTGTTGAGGGGAGGGTGGGATACATATAGGGTGGGATTTAGGGTGCAGGCTCATTATTTCACTTTGTTCAGAGTATAGTGAGGTCAGAGCAGGAAGTGAGATGGGGGCTAGTCTAAGTGGTATACCCAGAACAGACACAGCACAATTTTGAGCATAGACAAGGGCCAGTCTAAACCACTGTGCCATCCAGTAGGCACAGTAATACACAGCAGAGTCACTTCTTTCTAGATTTCTTACTATAAACTTACATCTTCTATCTTTGCCTTTATCAGCCTCATATTTCCTTGAATTTATTCCTGAGTCCAACTTAAAATTGAAAATATCATAGTAGAGAATTCGTCTTGGGGACTTCCCCTCCTTGAATTGGTACCAGTGGATATATTTATTTGCTTCACGAAATTCACAGATGATTATTACATATGATCCAGGTGACCTGATGACTGACCTTATTCTGCCTTCCAGACTGGAAGATGTTTGACTGCCTGCACGGATAACAACAACAACAACAACAACAACAAAAATAATGAGTAAGGGGGATGTGAGTTCTTTACTATGGCTTGCCTATGGGGGAAAACTACATCACATGAGCATCATTGCTACATACTTACCAGGAGGCAGGATGGCTAGAAGAAGTAGGGCTAGAGCCCACAGCATTCCTTCTTCCCAGGGGCTTAGAAAGAAAAGGACCAGACAATAAGAGGAGAAGAAAAGCCTCCCAACACTCCAAGTCCGCTCAAAATGGAAGTGATACCTCCAACAGTGACTTAGAGCTGATCCTCCTGACTGAATCAGAGGCAAGGAGAAGTAACTAAGGAGCTTCCTGAGAAGAAAACCCAGCTGTTTACCCAGAAAGGGTTGTGCTGGGAGGAGCCCCTGCCTCTCTGCTTCTGCCCCTCTCTCTAGTGCCACCTTTTGGCCCCTGAGGGCAGGCCCTTTGCAGAGGAGGAGAAGCCAGGAATCTGGAGAGCTCAGAGGTGAAGAAGGTTAGCACAAGCATAGTGGGAGGCAGAACCCTGGATGAAAATGCCTGTCTTCTGGAACTTCAGGTCTCTGAATTTTAGAGTTGCTGCTGCTGCCATGATTGTGTCTTGAGATGAAACTTCTTTATTATGGCCTATACCACCTACTTACATCTGTATATTGACTTTGAGGCGACCACCAACTGCAAATCAGATAAACCTTGGATCTACTTTATTAAAAGAGACTAGGGATGTTGGCTGCAAATGACACTACTCCAACACAAATGGATGTGTGTCAGAAGTGGGGGTCAGGGGACGGACATTATGCTGCCACAGGAGCAGCTCTGAAAGCACACAGGACACTATGTCACATGCAGGATGACTTTGCAGGGCCCAGCATGCTCCATTGCCAGTCGGTTTATATCTTGATCCTTCCTCTCTTCAGTGAGACTGAATCTGATCTGTCAATTAATAATTGAAGGAAAGTTACAGGCTGGATCCTATTGGAAAAGACTGTTTGATATGTTAAAATAACACATCTTTATGTGTCCCAGGAGTTGTTGAATATATACTGAAAACTTCTGCTGATACCACACTGCAAGAAGGTAGGAGACTTACCTGGAAACAGTAAGTCCCACAAGACAGTGAGGCAACCTCGTGTGGCTCCATGTCCTGATCAGGCGGACCGGAGCCCAGGGTGACCCCTGGTCTCAAACTGCTGCCATGAGCCATAACATGACAGGTGGTTGAGGTCAGGTGAGATCTTGAGCCAATTCTCTGAGGCGAGAATTTAATTTGTAAGAGAAATAAAAGTGGGAAGAAGAGGCCTCAGAGAGAGGAGATAGATACACAAATCTATCCACAAGATGAAGGGAGGAAGGATGCATGGTTATATTTCTGAGAAATGTTTTATGAATATTCCTAGACTAATAGCACCAATAGTGAGAAATGCTAGTGGGACACGTCCTGCACTCACCCTCTCTGGTTGTTCATGGCTTGAGCAGGGCCATTATCAGCTTATGGTCTTTTCTCTATTAGATTCTAAAAATAGCCTGGATCTTTCTCTTTGAGATGAAGACTAAGAAAAGAATTCAAGTCACTTCTCTCCTATTAAATATTGCACCAGAAGTCTCAACCAGGACATTAAGAATGCAAAATTAATAGAAGTTAGGAATGTAGAGTAGATATAAAACTGCCTTTAGTTATAGTTAATATGAATACATACACAGAATAATTAAAGAATCAATAAATAAAATAAAAATTGTTAAGACAAATAAGCAAGACTATTAGAGTAAAATTCACACCCTTTCAGAATCTATTGCATTTCTCTCTACCATTAACAAAAGAAATTTGAGAACATGAAATTTAAAATTTACTACAAAATTTATTTTCTACAAACTTATGTCTCTTGATAGTCACAGCCAAGCCCTCCAGCACTTTGATGTCTTCCTGTTCAGTTTCCTCTTATCTGGATTAATTTTACAACACTAACATGGTTGAATAGGCTGCAATTGCACTTTCCTGCATGACTTTTTGATTTAAAAATACAATATCCTTATATGGTTGTTCATCAAAGAGATTTTAGTTTTATTTATTGAGAAAAATGATAATTTAATAGAAACTTTTAATGGCCTGTGTCCACAAAAGAGGGTAGAAGTAGATAGAAAGTTTAGATTTGTTCTTTGAGAAGAGAACAGATTATATGCTAAATTCAATGAGAAGTATGTAAGCAAAATTCATGGAAGGCCAACTATAGAGATGGAGCTTGTGTTTGTGTACTAGGAGATTAACAGAGTAACCAAAATGGAGTCACTGTGCAAAGAATCTCTGTCATTAAACCTACACTGTTGCTGGGTCTGATAGTGCATGCCTATACTCCTAGTGGCTCATGATCTTGAGGCAGGAGAATCATGAGTTCATAGCTAGCCTCAGCAACTTAGTGAGTCCCTAAGCAAATCATCAAGAGGCTGTCTAAAGAAAACACACACACACACACACACACACACACACAGAGGCTGCATAAAGAAAATATATACATATGTATGTATTTTCATATATATATATGGCTGGGGATATAGCTCAGTGGTTAAGCATCCCTGAGTTCAATCCCTGGTACAAAATATACCCATAAACCAAACCACACAAAATCCCCAAAACCTAAATTATTTAATTGTAACATTGAACCTTCCAAGAAATCAAGAAATAACAGCCAAACACTCAAGCAAACCAATTTGCAAACAATAACAAAAAAGGGAACTAACAGGAAATTCACACTAATCAGTCACAGGGGCCAAGTCAACCATTGCAGGCATGGTAAGAAAGATCTTAGGCATTAAACCACAGAGACAAAGAGAAATCTGATGTCACCAGTCTGCTCCTTGGACTATCTTGCATCCTTCTTCCTGCTCAGGCTGTCATGCAACCACCAACACTTGTCACACCCAGCAGAGTTCCTGTCTGTGTTGCAGACTGATGCCACCTATTTCATGAATCACTAACCATAGCCACCTAGATCTCTGAAACTCAATTTCTTAAAGTTATGTTCTCTGACATGTGTAAGTAGATACAAAAGGTAGCATATTTATAATAATATTTTTTCCTATGCTCTCACTCATATCAATAGCACCATTGTTGGTGGTGAGGGAAATATTGATTTGTTCAATAAAATAATTATGTCTGTTGACATGAGGTCTTCATGAAGCACAAATATTTATTCTATCATTTCTTGTAATCCTGAGTAATGAATCAGTCACTCCTAGATATTATCTGTAGATCACAATTGGATAAATGACACCATGAAACTAGCCTTTCACAATGCTCTCCTAGATGTCACCTATAACGATCAACCCTAAGTGACCTTGTGTTCCTAACCCAGTGCATTGAATGCCTCCACCAGGCCCTAAGAGAGCTGAGAGAATGATACTGTCAGGCAGGATACTTAGCCAAGGATGAGACAGAACAGTTCAGGAGGTTGGTCTTGTGGGCTGGTGGGGGCAATGTACAGATGTTGAGGGGGGAGTAGGGCAAATATAGGGTGGGAGTGAGGGTTTAGGCTCATAATTTCCCTTTGTTCAGAGTACAGTGAGGTCAGGGGCAGGAAATGCAATGGGGATTTATCTCTATTTATGTACTAGCAGCAGACATAGTAACATTTTGAGTACAGATAAAGGCAGATCTAAACCATTGTGCTAGTCCAGTAGGCACAGTAATACACAGTGGAGTCACTTTTTTCCACATTTTGTACTGCTAATTTAAATCTCCTATCTGGGACTTCAAAGCATCATATTTCCCTCAAAGGAATCCTGACTCTACCACAAGCTTGGTATTTAAAAATTTATAGTGGAGAAGCTATCGTGGGGCCTTCCCCTCCTTGAATTGGTACCAGTAGATATAGTTACTTGCTTCACATAAATCACAAGTGATTGGCACATATGACCCAGGTGAACGTGTGACTGACACATTCTCCCTTCCAAACTGGAAGATGTTTGACTGCCTGGAACAGTAACAACAACAATAAAATTTAACAGCAAAGAGGTAAAGGAATTCTTTCTTATAAATAGATACTAGGGATGTTGACTGCACATGACATTACACAAACACAAATGGATTTGTGTGTGTTTGTGTGTGTGTGTGGGTGGGTGGTCAGTGCAGGGACATGAAGTGACCACAGGAGAAGCTCTGAAAGCACAGGGCCCTAGGTCACATGCAGAACGACTTTGCAGGTCCCAGCATGCTCCATTGTCAGTCAGTTCATATCATGATCTTCCTCTGTTCAGGGAGACTGAATTTGAATTGTCAATTAATAACTAAAAGAAAGTCATGTTCTGTAAACTAATAGAAAGGGTGCTTAGTGTGTTGAAATAACCCCTCTTTCATAAGGGAAATGCCTTTTATGTCTCAGTAGTAGAGTTGAATATACACCAGTCTACAGAAGAGCCCAATGTTGGGTTACTAATTTTATCTAAGAAGGAGCATTTCTCAGATATGCAGGAATAAACCAGTAGAACAGAGCTCAATCTCATACGAAGAATGGAATGTTTGTTCTCTCAAAGGCTGACAGTGAGTACAGAAAAAGTAGAATGACTGTATGTTTAGAATATATTGTGAAAGTGGACTGCCAAAATCTACACTACTCCTGGTACTGGACAGATTGAGTCCAAGTCTGAGCACCTACTGGCAGCATGGATGGGAAGGGTAGCTGTTTTTATGTTCACATTAGCCTACATTCCTCTTCTTCCAGACTCCAGTCACCTACTTATGTGATGTAAATGTTCTATGTAAAACCTCACTTCGGCTGAATCTGATGTCATGTTTTCTCTGAAGAGATACTACTCTGATACTGTGAATGTTTTTCTTCTCCTGAAGCACTTTGTTATCATCCATATCTAGGTATACATATGCTAATTGCCTCAGGGACATATGTTTTCCTCCTGTGTCTATAATAAGAAAATGAACCCGAAGGTACCAGAATCCTTAAATCGAAAACCTAATAAAAGTTAGACATTAGGCATTATCTTGGGGCTTCAGGTGTCCTCTGCTCTTTCTTTTAGAGCAGTGTCAGAAGGGGTGGGGTGTAGCTCAAGGATAGCTTGCACAGGTAGTATCTTCAAGCTCTGCATTGAAACTCAGCACCACAATAGCAAAAGAAAAAAAAGAAAGAAAGAAAAAAAAAAAAAAAAAAACAGAACAGTATCTGGGGAGTGGAGAGAAGGTGTTTGGAGTGTAAACAATCTTGAGCATCAGATTCCCAAACCTCTCCCACAGAGGGTAACAATTTTTGCATAACCAACACAGAGAGCCCAGCATACCACAACAGGGAGAGCAGGTCCAATCCA